GTCTGCCTTTGGCTCAGGTCATGATCCCAGGGTGCGGGGATCGAGCCCCACATAGGGCTCCCTGCTCCGCGGGAAGCCTGCTTCTCCCTCTCCCGCTCCCCCTGCTTGTGTTCCCTCTCTCGCTGTGTCTCTGTCAAATAAATAAAACCTAAAAAAAAAAAAAAAGCATTTGACTCGATCTCAGCTCAGGTCTTGCTCTCAGGGTCTCAAGCTTGAGCCCTGCGTTGGGCTCCATGGCCGGTGTGGAGCCTACTTAAAAAAAAAAAAAAAATCAGGCTCCAGTGATACTTTATGTATTGTATTGGTATCTCTCTTTAGCCTCTTCTAGAACTGTCCCCCACTCCTCATCTTTTGATCTTTTTTGACATTGACTTTTTTGAAATTCAACTCAGATGAGTTGTCCTGAAGTCCTGCAATCCGTGCTTCTTTGTCTGCTACGCTTCCTATAAACTAGAAGTTGATTGAGTTCAGGTTTGAGTTTATTAATGAGAACCTGGCCCAAGAATTCCGTATGTATCCTTTATCATCCACCAGTAGCTGTGCGATGCCTGCTTGTCTCACTGTTGGTGATGCCTGGTCTGGTGTCCTGGTCAGGGCAGTGACAGCCAATTTCTCTGTTCAAAGGACCCTGAAGCGCCCTCTTCACCAGCATCCCCAAAGATGTGTGTCACTTCAGGTGCTGAGGTCTGGGCCCTCTGCCGCCCCCAACCCTGTGCCCAGAGCACAGTCGGTCACCAGCATGGACCATGGGGTTTGGATCTGGGATCAGCCAGTTAGAAACTATAATGCCATGATTCCCGGCCTCAGTTTCTTTCTCTGAGGATAAATAGGAATATTAAGAAGCCTTGCCCTGGCCACTTCTTCCCTGCGAAGGCTCAGGTGTGATTGTGGGCAGAGACTTCCAGAGGCTCTTTGCAGATCTGTTGAGGGTTGCTGACAACATTGAGCCTGTCCTGAGAGTGGGCACTAGCTGAAGGTCAATCCTCCACCCAGCCCTGCGTTGCAGTTGCTACCCTTTATTATCCCTATTTCACAGATGAGGAAATGGGCTTCTGAAATAAATAACTCACTCCCCAAGACCTCCAGCCAGGGAGTACAGAGGAACCTGAGCAGTTTGGCACGTACTCCTCAGCTGGCAGGGGGCGCTGTTGCCTGGATGGAAGGGCCTACGCCCCCACTGTCCCCCCACAGCCGCCAGCCCCCAATTCCAGGAAGGAGGGGCTCTGCCACCTAGTGACCAAGATCTGGCTGCCCACGCTTAGAGAGATGAAGTCATCAGCCCACATTCCCCAGTTTCTTCATGTGTAATGTGGGCATAGCTGTGACGATCACTTGGGACTGCTCTGTGGAGATTTAAAATGGATCTGCACCCATTTCAGGTGATCTTCCAGGCACTGTACCCCCTCTCCAACCTTTCCAGAAAGGCAAGGTGACCAACCAGAGCCCCTTGGGCCCAAGGAGCATTCCCAACCACCTGTATCCAGCTGTGAGCTTCACCATGTATGTACCTCTGCCCTGCCAACCCCAATCTGTCTAAGGTGTCTGTGGTGTCTGTGTTCAGCTGGGGGTGGGAGGTCATGGGGGAGGTAGGTGTCACTGAGTCATTCAGCTAGCCCTCCTGGCAGCCAGGCCATGGTGGGCAAGGGACATCAAGCTGCTCCTGTCACAGCTGGCATATCAGATAGTCCCTTTGTCAGTCTTGACTCATCTGTGCGTGGCCTCTGGCTGCCTGCAGGGACACCATCTGTGAATCCTGGGCTAGTGCCCAGGGAACTTTCTGGAGCTCCAGCTGTTTGTACATGGGTATGGGATCGGGGTGAGGTTTGAGGTCTCTGAAGCCCTCTGTCAGGTGTGTCTGGCTCTGCTATTTCTGGCCTGTGACTTCTCAGGCTTTGGTTACCATGTCTACAAAACTGGAACAACAAATCATAGCTGGAGAGATTGGCCCAGGGATTAGATTACATGTATGAACATGCCCAGCTATGTCAGTTTGTGCTTATTATCATGCCCACAGCACAAGGGCCTGACACACAGTAGGTACTAAGTACAGGTCAGTGAGATGAATGAATGAATTGAGCCTTATTTATTTATTTTTATTTTTTACTTTGTTTGTTAAGTAGGCTCCACGCCCAGTGTGGGGCTCAAACTCAAGACTCCAAGATCAAGAGTCGCATGCTTTACTGACTGAGCCAGCCAGGTGCCCTTGAATGAAATGAGCCTTAGAACAAAGGAACTGGGGCATAGGGGCTGTTGTGTGAGGAGAGCTGGGAATACTGAAACCCAGCCAAGTTCCCTTTGCAACCTTTTGCTACTGGAGGGAGAGGGAAAGGTGTGGGGTCCCACAGAGGGAAGGTGGGTATGGAGGGGAGGGGTAGGGTATCTGCAATGCCCCTCTCCTGGGCAGACCACTGTTTTGGAGAGAATGGAACAGAAGCAGGAAAGAAGAAGCAGGAGGGGGCCACAGATTCACTCAACCTGTCCCGTCCAAACAGGGATGGTAAAAGTGTTCTTACTGAGATATGACTATATGCCAGGGCTGTGCCAACCATTTTACCTCTGCATTCCATGTTTTTTATATCTTATAACAACTCCCATACAGACATTATCCCTGTTCTACACAGGAGGAAACTGAGGCTTACCCAAGATAAATGGGCAGAGGTGAAACAGCTAGCAAGTGGCAGAGCTGGGATTTGAAGGCTGGGCTGTCCTAGGTGTGTTCCAGACTCAGTTTGCTCCTTCTGGGTAACCAAGCTCAGCCCAAGAGCTGGGAGGACCAGTAGTGGGAGTGGGGATGTCTCAAGGTCATGTCCTGGTCTTGGCTCCTGGGGCCCCTGGCCATACCCCACTTGTGGTGAGTGCATCTGGCCTGTTGGGGAATGCCTGGGGCCTGACTGGCCCAATGTGGATGCAGTTTACTTGGCAATGAAGAAACATTGCTGAAGTCAAGAGTTCAGATTACTGGAGGGGAAACCCAGCCCTAATTTCTTGCATGGCTCCTGCTGGGAAGGGTCACAGCTACACCACATACCTACCTTCTGCTGGACATTCGGGGTTTATTTTCAGGGGTAAGATCTTATCTGAGGTGGGTAGGAGGGCTCACAAACAGCCCAGGCCAGGATTCCTGATGGGAAGTGGTTTGCTGGCTCTTGAGACGCGTGTCCTGGCAGGAGGCTCCACCCACAACTCCCTCTTGGCCACTGGATCTCATCCAGTAAGCTGGAGCCAGTCTGGGGTTGCCCAGGCCCCCAAGACCCCGGGGCCATGGGAAGGACACAAGCGGCCAGGACACCCCTCAGTCTAGCTGCTGCCTACTTTGAGGACCTCAAGACCAGAGGGTCCTGCATGAACCCCCTCATACTTACCTAGCCAGGCCCTCCTCACTCCAAGGCCCTCTCAGCTGTTGCCAAGGAAACTGATAGAGCGCCAGAAAACCCCACCCAGGTCTCCATGGCAACCTACAACAGCCCACCAGGATCTCCATCGGTGATGTCACCTGCGCCCTGAATGGGCGCCCCCACCCTCGCCACACTCATCACAATCAAACGTCAGAGTCTGATAGCAGATCCCTGTCACAAAGTACCTCATAGCCTGCCTGCCCCCAATCCTCACACATCTTAGACATGAACGAAGGAGGGAACAGGTCATTTTATAGCTGGGCACCCTGAGGCTGGGAGAGGAGGCAAGACCCAGGAGCCTGGAGGCAGAGACAGGTCTAGAAACCAAGCTCCCCCATTATATCTCCTCCCCTCTTGCCTTGGCATCCACCCTAGTTCTAAGGAGTGGGTGAGCTCTGGGCAGTGGGGGCACCAAATGGTGGCTCATCCCATCCACCAGCCCCAGCCCTGACCCAAACTGTACTCTACACCTATGCCCCTCCTAGATGGGAGTCTGAACTTCCAGGCACTGCATATGCCCTGAACTACAGGCCCATCTGGGGCGAAAGGGAAGGAGAGAGACGTTGAAGACTCTTACAGCAGCTGGATCCGGCCCTGACTCTGGTCCAGTCCCACCCCTAGCCACTCTTGCTGCCATCTGACACCTGTCTGCCAAGATTTCCCCAGCTTTGAGCAACCTCCAGCCTAGGAGCAGAATGATCGGGAGCGGAAAGGCCAGGAGCAGAAGGGCCAGGGAGGGCCAGGAAGGGCCAGGACCAGGTATTTTTAGCAGAGTTGCTGGCAGCTGTCTGGAGGGTGCTGGGAGGTGAGGCGGTGCTGAGTTCATCCTTTCCCTTCTCTGGGCCTATATTCCCTCCCCCAAAACCAAGCATGCACCCCTACCTGCAATACACTGCCAGAACACCTCCCTTCCTTCACCCCCTCCCCCAGAAAGCTCTCCACGTGTCCCCAGAGGCTCCCATGGTGACACTAACCCTCACCCTGAAGGACAGCCTCATCAGGTAGAACCTTCAACTCCCCAGGGCAGGGAGGGGAATAGGGAGGACTTGGCACCAAGGCCAGAAGCCCAGATTTAGGACCCTTCAGTTCTAGCTCATATATGGGCCTGTGGGGAGTGGGTGTCCTGAACAGAGAAGAAGGGTGAAGTCTGTCCAGCCTGTATCCCTCGGCTTGCTTGGGCAACAGGCCAGGGCTGGGGGAGAGCAAAGGGAGAATTCACTGTTAAAGGGCCAGAACTAATTCTTCCCCAGAGAGGAGCTGGCACAGTTGGCTAGTCCGGCTTTCCCCCTTGACCCCACCCAGGATGGTACCCCCAACTCCAAATCCCTCCCCCACACCATTCAACCTAGTCGTCCCCCCCCCCCGCCCTGGTCCCTCCTTCCCTGCCTCCCACCGCACGAGCTCAAACCCGGGCTTTGTCTGCCCAGTCGGGTGGGGCGTGGTCTCGGTGGGTGGGTGCGAGGTCCTGGGAGGGGGGCGGGGGATTCCCCCGAGGGGGAGGCGGACCGACACGTCAGCCCCCGCAGCAGCGGGGACGTGGGCGAGCGCGGGGGTGGGGGCGGGGGCGGGCAGGCGCTTAAATAGGCAGCTCTGGAGCCGGGACCCAGAGCGGACTGAGGAGGCGGCGGCTGCGGCGGCAGCGTCGGGTGTCCGAGCCAGGGTCTGCGAGTGGACTGTATCCGGGCCTGGAACCTACTTCGGACCGTGTCCGTGTGCGGTTGGGTGAGTGTCCTGGCGGCCCGGGGTGCGGATGGACGAGTCGGGAGGGTGGCTCACGAGTCAGGGCGCCAGGACCTCCACGGCCGGGAGGGGACTGCGGCAGGTCCTCGGCCCGAGCGTCGGGCCTGACCCCGGCGTCGGGCAGGCGCGCCGGGGGGTCCAGCCTCCCACACGGTCTGCGGCAGGTCCTCGGCCCGAGCGTCGGGCCTGACCCCGGCGTCGGGCAGGCGCGCCGGGGGGTCTAGCCTCCCACACGGTCTGCACGGCGGCTGACCCTGCCGTCCCCACTCCCGTTCCCCAGACGGCGTCGGGCGCCATGACTCTGAATGGCGGCGGCAGCGGAGCGGGCGGGAGCCGCGGCGGGGCCCGGGAGCGCGAGCGCCGTCGGGGCAGCACACCGTGGGGGCCGGCGCCCCCGCTGCACCGCCGAAGCATGCCGGTGGACGAGCGCGACCTGCAGGCGGCGCTGACTCCGGGCGCTCTGGCAGCGGCCGGGGCCGGGACCGGGGCCCAGGGTGCGACGCTCGACTGGCCCGAGGGCTCCTCCGAGTCGCTCAGCTCAGGGGGCAGCGACTCAGACGACAGCGTTTACAAGGTGCTGCTGCTGGGGGCGCCTGGTGTGGGCAAGAGCGCTCTGGCGCGCATCTTCGGTGGTGTCGAGGATGGGCCTGAAGCAGAGGCCGCAGGTGAGGGGCTGCGACTATTCAAGGGAGGGGAGATGCCAGGGCAGGACTGAGGGCTACAGGGCTGGGGACCTGGATTAAAAGCGGCACATACCATGGGATTCTGAAGGCACTTTCAGAATCATGCTTCTGCCTACCCATTTCACAGATGGGGAAACTAAGGGAGAAGGGATCTCCAGCCCTTGGTAGGGGAAGAAATGCCCAGAGTAGAAGGCCCAGGCCATACCTGTAGGATGGGGATAGGACATCCCTCCCTGCCAGGGCTGGCAGGAACACAGCCAGAGGGAGTTTCTAGGAGAAGAGCCCTAGGTGACCAAGGCTCCCAAAGAATGTGACAGTCACTATTCTAACTCAGGCTACTGTGGTCAGAGCTACCCTGGGGCCCACGCAACAGGAGGGCAGGGAACGCAGGAGTGGCAACCCAGGACATTGTCAGCTTGGGGAAGCGGTGTCTAGGTGAGGGTCAGACACACCACACCCTGTACGGCCCGCTTCTCGGCCCTGTCATTTCTGTTGTCACATAGTGGCCATCAGTGGAGGGAAAGGTTAGGGGGGCTCTAGGGTGGAGATGGAGGGTGTGGCCAAAACAGGAAACCTGGCACATGGTGTGGGAGGGTGGCTTTTGGCAGCCAGCAGATCACCTGACTACTAGTCTCCTGCCTAGGGCACACATATGATCGGTCCATCGTGGTGGATGGAGAAGAGGCATCACTCATGGTCTATGACATTTGGGAGCAGGTAGGCTGCAGGCTGAGACCCAGGTCAGGGTGGGAGGGGTGACCTGGGTATAGCGGCCTGCGTAGAGGGGCAGCCTTGTAGCCCGGGCATGAGAACTGTTGGTAGATATGCATGTGTATGTGTTCCCCAGGATAGCAGCCACTGGCTACCTGGTCACTGCATGGCTATGGGGGATGCGTACGTCATCGTGTACTCAGTGACAGATAAGGGAAGCTTCGAGAAAGCCTCAGAGCTGCGGGTCCAGCTGCGGCGGGCACGGCAGATGGACGACGTGCCCATCATCCTAGTGGGCAACAAGAGCGACCTGGTGCGCTCTCGAGAGGTCTCCTTGGATGGTGAGCAGGGAGTGGGTCGGAAAGGGAGGGACATCCTGGCTGGGCTGTGGTCCATTCAGTCTTGGCTCAGCTCAAGTCCCTGGGGATCATAAGTGGCTAAAAATGTTCAGGAGGAAAACTTGAGGGGGAGAGGGGGGAAAGCTGCTGCCCTCCCACGGGACTCGCAGCGGGCTGAGAGGCCTGGGGGAAGGACCAGATGCTCTGGGGAGGAAGAAGCTGCTGGGCACTGAGCTGGGCCACCTCAGGACCCTCCTCTCCTGTACCCTTTGGCCCTGGCCTGACAGATGAGGAGTGAGGAGAGTGCAGGGAACTGGGCTAGGAGGTCAGAGTGTGGATTCAGGGCCGGGGCCGGTCTCGGCGTGGGCTTGACCCTGGGGAGGATCTGCTCCTCTTCAGCTCAGCATTCTCCTCTGTGGCCCCCAGAACGGAGCCCCTCAGAGGAACCTAGCAGTGACTCAGTGACATCCTCCTCCCAATTTCACTGGTTATTCATTATAACCTCAAACCCTGAAATACTAAGGTGCCCAACAAAGCTCTCCTTCTCTTGTGTTGACTGCTTCAGCATTTCCGTTTAAATATCAGGCTTCAAATTATTTCAATAAATGAGTTTCCTCTTGTAAGCCTTTGTGAGCTCCTTAAAGGTGGGCACATTCTGCCGGTTGGGTGACCCAGCAATGCCTTGGATCCTCTGTACAGGAGCTGGGGTCAGTGTTTCTGGGGACCCCCCCAGAGCTCCTCCCCTGGTCCCCAGATTCCTGAGTGGTAGCTGCTACGGGGTGGCTAGAGTCTGAGTGGGCTCCTCCCCCCCCCTTTATTTCACTGCCATGTGCCTGTCCCCACCAGAGGGCCGGGCCTGTGCTGTGGTCTTCGACTGCAAGTTTATTGAGACCTCCGCGGCGTTGCACCACAATGTCCAGGCCTTGTTCGAGGGTGTTGTGCGCCAGATACGCCTGCGCAGGGACAGCAAAGAGGCCAACGCACGTCGACAAGCGGGTACCCGGCGGCGAGAGAGTCTTGGCAAGAAGGCAAAGCGTTTCTTGGGCCGCATCGTAGCACGCAACAGCCGCAAGATGGCCTTTCGTGCCAAGTCCAAGTCCTGCCACGATCTCTCTGTGCTCTAGACTCCACAGGCACATACTGCGTTGTGCATACAAACGGGCGGATTGGTGGGCTGGCCCAGCCACCTGCCCTGGGTGCCTCAGGGCACACCCCACCTCATGGTCATGGACAGATAGACAGTGCTGCCCAGGCAGCTCGCAGTGGCCATCAAGGGCTGGGCCCTCGGCGATGCATGTACAGGCCAGGGTGTGTCCCCAGTAGCGGTCTGAGCCCAGCCCGTGGGGCAGGCCTGTGTGTGGGGACAGGACTCTAGCTTTCTCCACACTTGGGCTGTGCATGCTCTGGAGGGAGGCTGTTCAGTGCAGTGGTTATTTGTTTACATGCAAATTTTTGTAATAAAGACTATTTCCTGATAGATCAGGGCTGTTGACTCTGTGTTTCCTCCCGATAGGGGGCTGTGAGAGCAGGAAGGGTTCCTGAGGTGGAGGGATGGGGTCTCACTGCCCTACCCTAGTGTGCGGCCTTGACTGTCCTAATATTTGGGCTCCGATCTAGCCAGATGGACCAGAGGGGCAGGTGTGGGTTGTGGCCTGATTGGACAGCCAAGCAGCAGGAGGAGACAAAAGCCCCTCCCAGATCTTTCTCTTGCACTGGGGCCTGGCATTGCCCAGCTGATTAAGGGTTCAGCCACCCCACTGTCTGTAAGGAAAACTGAGTCTGTCTGAGGGACCAGGGCCTGCCCCAGATCTCATGGCCAAACAAAAACACTGGGTCTGACTTCTGGGCTGGTGTCTCCATCCTGCCTCCTCCCGAGGGGCTGGAAAGTTGCTGAGGTGGGGTAGCTGTGGAAGATTTCTGAGACTCCCTGGCTGGGAAAGGAGGAGGCCAGTGTCTGGGGCTGGGCCACGGAGCAAGGGCCTCACTGTTGTCTCCTCTGGGAGGGACCGGGCCAGAGCCTCCCATGCTCAGCATTGGCTGACATGGTCTTGGCGGGAGCCCCTCCCGGAGCCCTCCCTGCCTAGAAGGAGAGGCTTTGTATTTGTGTGGGAATGTGTGTATGTTTGCTGATGGCTGGGGCTGTGCCTGTCTCCCCGCCACCGACACCAGACACAGGTGACTGCTGGCACTTGCCCTACGGTGTTTGGGGAAAGAGTATCTATCTCCGTTTGGCAATGGCAGATGGGGAACCGAAGAAGTTGAGGTCACACAGGTAGAAGTGGCTGAGTAGGGACTGGTATATAAGTCTGCTGGTCTCCAGAGCCTGAAAGCAGCCTGTGGCGAGGCCTGGGACAGTTTCTGAGTTCTGGGCAAGGGTCTGTACATCTCCTTCATTGGTTCAATTCCTTTATTCCACAGGCCCCTAGGAGCTCTTGCAACCTGGTTAGAACACTGATTGCAGTTGTTCAATGGCAGAAGGTGTCAGGGCCACTTCTGAATGTGCAGGACCTGTCTTGACTCACCCACATGCCTCCCAGGGCACTGTTAACTGCTCAAAGCTGCTGCCACTCCCCACTCCCACCCTGCAACATACTTAGAGGCATGTGGAAGGCATGGTTTTCTCAGAGCAGGTGAACATCCTGAGGCCTGAAGAAGAATCCAGGCCTTCCTGGCCCCGCTACTTATTGGCTGTGTGACCCTGGGCAAGCCACTCAGCATCTCTGTGCCCTAGTATGCGACATGGGGACAGTGCCCCTTCCAAGTGGAGTTGGGGGAATACTGAAGGCATGTGCTTAGAGCAGTGCTGGGTGCATAGTAGGAGCTCAACACATGGGAGATCCCTTCAACAACCCCACAGTGCCCTGCTCCAGGCTGGGGTGCGTGTGGTGCCTGAGTGACCCTGAGGCAGGCGCTGGGGTTGTGGCAGACAAGGCTGGAGGCGGGTGAGGCGTCCCCGCCCATCCTCCAGATATGCGGTGAGAAGGACTCAGGGAAGACCATGGGGAACTCCGAGGACAAGGATGGACTGGCAACAGGATCCCTGACCCTTCCCCCACACACCCCTGGTCGTGGACTCCCAGGCCCCAGAAGCTTCTCCTGGCTCCACTTGGCTGCCTTCGGTGGGGGAGGGGTCTCTGGCAAGCCCTGTGATTCCCTCAAGGTCACCTGAGCTGGCTCAATCTGCTCTTCCCTCTCAGAGGCACGGGACAGTCCGTTGTCCCAGCCCTTTCCGTGTCAGCAGCCAGTGTGAGCCCTCTGGGAGCCTCAGGGGATCTCACGGGCTTCTGTGCCCCCACCTACTGGTCCCACTGGTGGGTGGTCTGGAGCCACAAATACCCAGTTCAGGTCATGCTTATTTATCCTTCATGTGCAGCCTCTAGCTCCTTGTTTTTGATCCAGTGAGAAGCTGTCAGGGCCAAGTGAGGGCAAGGTCATGACTGGGTCCCCGAGACCTGCCCTGGAGGGGTCCCAGTCTGATGGGAGAGATAGACAATGACAATCTGGTGTCTTTTCTGCCTTGATAGAGGTATAGCACATGGCATGGCATAGAGGGTATTCCCAGAAAAGAATCCTGAACAAGCCTGGGAGCCCAGGGAAGGTTTCCTGGAGAAAGGAATATTTGAGCTGAGTACTGAAGTCTGAGTAGGTGCTCACCAGACAGATGAAGGGAGGGAAGGGCATTCCAGACAAAAGGAACAGAGTGGACCAAGGTAGAGCTGCAGATGCTGGTGCATGGGGGAGAAGTGGGATCAAGTCTGGAACCACAGAAAAAGAAGTAATGTCCAAGCCCAGAGGCCCAAGAAGTCCCCACTGGGCTGTATAGGAATGGGAGAAGTGCCAGGCCAATGATCTCCCCACCTCCCAGGGCTGGCAGTCACGGATGCTGAGCAGCCCCAGCTTTCCAAAGTCAATGAGTAACTTGGGGGGCTGGGCCGGGCCAGGCCTGCTGCCGTAGGCCCAGTGGTGTTTTCCACTCCTGAGCAAGCATGGCTGGACCGCCTACCTGCTCAAGTGTCCGCCCTGCCCTACCCCACCCCACCCATCCCAGCCTGGCCAACGCTCCCTGGAGAAAGAGCCCTCTCTCCAGACAGCTGGACCAAGGGAGCCCGCCTTAGGCACCGGAGGGTGAGGGCCCTGGAGTGGAGGGGTGAGCAGGGCTGAGGCTGGGGTTGGTGGTAGGGGAAGGAAAAACATTGGCCTGTCCAGCCCTTGTTCAGGGAAGAATTCCCAGGAGTGGCTGGAGTGGTTGTCCATGCTCTGCATGCCCAGCTCCATGCTGAGGGCTGGCAAATCCCAAGAGGAGGGCAGGGTTCCTGCCCCGAGGGGACTCTGTGTCTGAAGGATGGCAGTGGGTGGAAAAACAGGGCCCAAGACCCTGAACCATGGGTCCTCTGTTCCAGGAGGAATTGTCCTATGGTCAAGTCCTGTGTGACCTTGGTCAGGCCTTGCACTTCAGGCTTTGCCTACAACATGAGGCGGCTGCAGGAAGTGACCCTTAGGGTTATCAGGGTCTTTCCAGCTTCAGACTTTTGTGATATTTGGGGCTGCTGGGCAATTACCACTGTGGGATCTCTGTACAAGCTGGGGAGGCTATGTCAGCAAGGAGCCAGAGGTGTGGAGGTGAAACTCCCATGGAGATCCTTGTGGCGGCAAGAACCAGAGGCAGGATGGCTGGGCCTAGGGGCCTGGGTGGGCCTGGTTGAGGGGCTGGATGCCCTTCAACCCTGCAGGAGGTGGGGAGTCACAGGCTCCTCTAAGGGGAGGAAGAGGAGGCCAGTCTGTTGTGAGGTCCCTCTGGCTACTGGTATGGAATAGACCGAGGTAGGGGACAAGGATGGGAGTGGGTGGAGGGCAATGTCCAAGTGGGTGAGATGGGGAGGGGCAGCTCTGAGAGTATAGAAGGACAGGGGACAGGAGGAGGCTTGACTGCCTTTCCCATAGTGACAGGTAGCAGAGGTCCCACTGAAGAAGGCACAGTTGCCCCCTGTGGGGCCTGGGGAAGCCATGGCTTGGGCTGAGTGGGGATGAAGGGAGGGATACTCTCTAGGAGGAGAGTAGTGGGAGGGAGCCCTTGCCCGCTGATCTGGCTGGATCCTTCCTGCCACGTCCCTCAGGCCCGTCCTGACCATGGTGCCTGTCTGGCTGTTGCTGTTTTGCCTCTCTGTAGCCCAGGTGAGCTGGGCCCCACTCGTCCCCTTCGGATCCTGGCCTTGGGGGTTGGCGCCCTTCTCTCCCATTCTACCTGGACCAGCCGCACTGACCATGGAAGGGACTAGCTGTGGGAGGGTGTGCAGAGCTGGCTATAGACCTCCTGTGGGATCAGGAGGTCAAAGGCCAGAGGGTGGATGGGCTAAGGTATGGCCAGGCCCATGGAAGGGGCAGAAATTCCCCATCCTGGTCGGGCACCCATGACAGGAAGGCAAAGCCTGGAGACAAGGTGAGAGTCCTCCCCCCAGGTTTTCCCCGAGGTCCAGCCTGCAGAACTGTATGTGGAAGTCCCAGAAAACTATGGTGGAAATTTCCCCTTGTACCTGATCAAGGTGAGCCTAAGAGCTGGGTGGGCTGCCCTCCCCCCAGGTCCCACTTCCCCCATCTCCAGCACTTCTCTCTCTTTCTTGCTCTGCCTTTCTTTCAATCCTGCTTCCTGGACAGTATGTGATATAGTGTGAGTGACTAACAAAATTTCAATTCCAGAAGAAAGTAGAGTTTTAATAAACTCTTGGTGGTGGGGTTTTGGGCTTAGAAAGGAGGGCGGGGAGTACTGGGGAGCATCAAGTACAGGGGAAAGAGTGCTGGCTTTGAATGTTGGTCCTGTGATTTACTGGCTGTGTGACTTCAGGCAAGTGCTAGCCCTCTCTGAGCCTCAGTTTCCCCACATATAAAATGGGGCCATTGGGTGAAGGGGCAGCTCCCACTGCCTTTACCTCTGCTCTCCCTCACAGCTGCCACTGCCCCCTGAGGAGACTGAGGGCGAGATTGTGCTGTCGGGGACCCCAAGCGTGGCAGCTGAGGGCCCCTTTGCTGTGGATCCAGAGTCTGGCTTCTTGCTGGTGACCAGGGCCCTGGACCGAGAAGAACAAGCGGAGTACCGGCTACAGGTAGGACAGGGCCCAATGTCGGGGAGAATGGTGAACGTGGGCCAGGGTGCTGACGGGCCTTCCCTGCCAGGTCACCCTGGAGACTGAGGATGGACGTGTCTTGTGGGGCCCGCGGCCTGTGCTTGTGCGTGTGAAGGATGAGAATGACCAGGTGCCCCACTTCTCTCAGTCCATCTACAGAGTTCAGCTGAGCCAGGGCACCAGGCCCGGTGAGTGCCCAGGGCCACCAGCGAGCGACAGGTCAGGTGGGCCCTGAGGAGAGAACAGAGAGTAAAGGGATGGCTGACCATCAGCATAAGGACAGGGCGGCCAGGGTCCAAGCTGCCCCCTCCCACTTCTGTCCCATCTCGTTTCCCCCACCCCACTGAGAGTCCTCCAGTCCCATCCACTCTTGGCCTCAGTTTGCTCCCCTGCAAACTGAGTACTGAGTCCCCTCAGTACTCCCTGTCCTCCTTTCTAATCTGTGGCTCACCTCCAGCGTCCCCATATGATGACGGATATGGAAGGAAGTACCAGGGAGAGATGGGGGAGGCATGGGAAATTCTCCCCACCCCCTGCACCCCTTAAGGTTTGCCCTCTCCACACACGCCAGGCATCCCCTTCCTATTCCTTGAGGCTTTGGATGAGGATGAGCCAGGCACAGCCAACTCAGATCTCCGATTCTACATCCTGAACCAGGCCCCAGCCCAGCCTTCCCCAGACATGTTCCAGCTGGAGCCTCGGCTGGGGGCTCTGGCCCTCAGCCCTGAGGGTGAGCCTAAGCTGGGTGTGATGAGGGGAGAGGGTCAGGGAAAGCTGGGGAAGGCGGCATGTGAGCTGTAATAGGATAGGTTGAAGCTTGAGAGATGAAGAAGAAAGAGTATTCTAGGTGGAGAGCGGCAAGGCAAAAGGCTTGAACCATTCATGGAGAGAAAAAATGGAATGAACGGAATAGCCTCAGCCCTACACTCTGGACACCCAAGCCTAAGGGTCAAGGATAGGAGAGTCCTGAGGGGTTGTAGCCTAGGATGTTGCCGGGACACCTTTGGACTGATTGTAAGGGAGAGCTGGACCTGGGAGTTCAGACCAGAGGCACAGGATGGAGATGGAAAGCAAAGCTAACCATACACCTACCAGCCAGTCACCCATTCACCCATCTACCACCCAACCCCATACGCAGCCCATCTATTCAAATACCTACCCAAACTAACCCATCCACACACCCAACTCCCCATCCATTTACCTAGTCAACCATCCATTCATCCAGCTGGTCATCTACTCATCTCCCCATCCACCCATGGACCCCTCCCCTCATCCTAGTCATCCAGTCCATCAGCCATTCATTGTGTGGATAGCTATAGAAATGACTTTGCAAACTTTCAAGTCCTGCTTGGGTCTCACTCTGGTGCTAAAAGCACTTCTTGCCCTTGGGCCCAGAGGGCATCCTAACCACCTGCCATATGCTTGGCTTTGTGTTTGTTACCTCGCTGAGAAGGATGCCCTGGACTCCTGCCAGCTGACCACCCTGCCCCTTCTAGGAAGCACCAGCCTAGACCAGGCTGAAGAAGGATCCTACCAGCTATTGGTACAGGTCAAGGACATGGGTGACCAGGCTTCAGGCCACCAGGCCACAGCCACTGTAGATGTCTCCATAGTAGAGAACACCTGGGTGCCCCTAGATCCTGTCCACCTGGCAGAGAATCTCCAAGTTCCATACCCACACCCCATGGCCCAGGTAAGTGAGTGGCTGTCAGTGGTTGAAGTAGTCCCATGGCTGGTACAGCTGGGACTGAGTCTCAAGATTTGGGGGGGGGGGGTCTGAGGCCCAACTTGACCCCTGCTCCTCCCCTACTTATGTTCCTCCCTCTACTGTCCCCATCAGTTCCCATCATGGAGTACAGTGTCCAAGGCCCTGGGACCAGGCCCATAGCCCCTCACCTGCTCTCCTCTGGCCAGCGTGGCTTGGGCCCTGACCTGCCCCTGCCCCAGGCTTCCCTAGGGAGAACAGCTGCCACCTCCCTGCTGCCATGGGGATTGTCACCTGGGCTTGGAATGTCTCAGACCTCCTCGAGGAATGCCCTGGGGGCAGGCCCAGCCCAAGAGGGCAGAGAATAACACAACCTGGTCATTCAGGCACTTTGGCCAGGGACCAGACTTGGACCAGGGCCACCAGGGACTTGCTACATCAACAAGTGTCCCAAACCAAAGGACCCTACCTGGGCCCCAGGGAGGAGAGCAACTTGCCTGAGGTCCCACAGCAGCAGGGACCCAGGCTCCCCACCCAGGAAGAGTTGAGGCAGAAGAGCTGACATGGGCTACTCCTGGCCCTCATCCCAGGGTGCCCTCATTCTGTGTCCCACTGCCAGGTACGCTGGAGTGGGGGAGATATACATTATCACCTGGAGAGCCAGCCCCCTGGACCCTTTGATGTGGATGCAGAGGGGAAACTCTACGTGACCCAGGAGCTGGACCGAGAAGCCCAGGCTGAGGTGAGGTGAGGGGGAAGCCAGGAGGGCAGGCTGAGGGGTGCCTGGTTATGGTCTGGTTGGCTTCTGGGGGGTGTCGCATCCCCCACAGGCACTGAGGCAGTGGAAGAGCACCCGGAAGAGCTGGAACTGGCCACCAGAAGGGAACTCAGACCTGGGCCAGGCTGGAACTGCCCTTGGCCTTCATCTGAAGCCCCCCACTGCCCACTTCAGTACCTGCTCCAGGTGCAGGCTCGGAATACCCGCGGTGAGGACTACACAGAACCTCTGGAGCTGCGTGTGGTAGTGATGGATGAGAACGACAACGCGCCTGTCTGCCCCCTACGTGACTCCCCAGTCAGCATTCCTGAGCTCAGCCCCCCAGGTGGGCTATGGGCCTTGTTAGGGGATGCGGGAGGGTTGAAGTCCTTATGACCCATCCCATTTTGCTCTTCTCTGAGATGGGCCCCTCCTCCACACGAGCTCAGGTTCGGTCCGGCACAAAAGAAGAATGGGTGCAGGGAGGCCTCCAGACTGGCCTATGGTCCCACCCAGGTGGGTGCTGTCTTCACAGGCACCAAGGTGACTAGGCTGTTGGCAGAGGACATGGATGCCCCTGGTTCTCCCAATTCCCACATTGTGTATCAGCTGTTGAGCCCTGAGCCTGAGGAGGGAGCAGACGGAAGAGCCTTCGAGCTGGACTTCACCTCAGGCAGTGTGACACTGGGGGATGCCCCCCTCCGAGCTGGCCAGAACATCCTGCTTCAGGTGATGGCTGCTGACCAAGGAGGAGCTGAGGGCGGTAAGTGCCCGGCGGTGACCCGGGCTATCTCCCTCTCTGGTCCTTTCCTGGTCTCTCCAACACGCCCTGTCCTGCCTCAGGCCTCAGCAGCACATGTGAGGTTGCTGTCACAATCACAGACGTCAATGACCATGCCCCCGAGTTCACCGTCTCCCAGGTAAGCAGGAACAGGGGAGGAGATCTTGGGAAGGCACTGATGAGCAGCTCATGGCCTGTCCCCATCTCTCCAGATTGAGCCTGTAAGCCTCCCTGAGAACGCAGAGCCAGGGACTCTGGTGGCCACGCTCATGGCCACCGATGCTGACCTTGAGCCTGCCTTCCGCCTCATGGACTTTGCCATTGAGGCGGGGGATGTGGAGGGGACCTTCGGCCTCGATTGGGAACCAGACTCCAGTCATGTCCAACTCCGACTCCTCAAGGTAAGGGGCTGGGGAAGGGGCACATATATACCCACGTGCATGCACCAGGGTGCCACCCCCTGGTCCAAACAGTGACCCAGACCCCATTGGTTCTAGAACCTCAGCTATGAGGCAGCTTCAAGCCACAAGTTGGTGGTAGTGGTTCGGAGCGTGACAGAATTGGTGGGGCCAGGCCCAGGCCCTGGAGCCACAGCCACAGTGACTGTGCTGGTGGAAAAGCTGGTGCCACCCCCCAAGTTGGACCAGGAGAGCTATGAGGCCAGCATTCCAGTCAGCACCCCAGCTGGCTCCCTCCTGCTGACCATCCAACCCTCAGACCCTGGAAGCAGTCCCCTCAGGTGAGCCAGACGCCCAGCCCTTAGCTGCACTGGACCTCCTCTGCTCCCCAGGGATGACCCCCAGGGCCTCAGAGGGGACTCACATTATCTATGTTCTGGAATGTTCCTCAAACCATGGCTAATGCCAAGGTTGTGACTTGCGGGTGAGTCAGAGCTAGATGAGTTGGATAGGGCATGGAGAGGAGAGTTAGGACTCCATGCAAGTTCAGATGCTGCCTCCCATGCTGTCCTAATGGGCCCTCCCCCATCCCTCACCCAGAGTGCAGCACAAGGGCTCTTCCCTGGCCCAATCCTGTCCCTTTATGGGGTGACCTGAGACTAGTGGAGTTGAGTCAGGCCCCCCGGGCTCTGATATCTCCCCACCCCCCACAGTATCCGTGATTCAAGCCCTGTCCCTCAACAAGTCCCTAAAGCTGGGGAGAGAAACTGGCCACCCCGAGTGACAGAGAGGATGTGGAACTTGAGCAGGTCACATGGCCCTGGGGGGGTCTCTGAGTAAGACCCCATATATGGTCCCAGTGCCTCCCTGCCCCCTTCCCCCCATCTTCTTTGGGCCTCAGGTTCTCCCTGGTCAATGACTCAGAGGGCTGGCTCTGCATCAAGGAGGTCTCTGGGGAGGTGCACACAGCCCGGCCCCTGCAAGGCGCCCAGCCTGGGGACATGTACACAGTGCTCGTGGAGGCCCAGTATGAAGGTATGGCCGGGCAGTGGTGGGGCCTCTGGGAGGGAGAGTAAGCCTCGGGAAGACAGAGAGATGGGCAGGGCTGAGCTTCTTTTCCAGGGTCCTTCCTGGCATCCACTCTGCCCCAGGCAGGAAAGAGGGATGAGGGCCGGGGCCAATGTCGGTCTCTGGGACGCCTGGCGTCTGCTTCCCCTCTCAGACCACGCTCCTCACTGGACACTTAAAATCCTCCAGCCCTGCCCCTTGGCCCTGGAGGGCCTCTCAGGTGTTGGCTTCAGACATAGGCTAGGAGCAGAAGCTGCGGGGCCAGGCAGGTGGAAGGAGTACTGGGGCTGTGTCTATGGCAGGCGAGGCAGGACGGGAGCCTGAGTGGGACACTGAAGCCAGGTATGGAGGACTCTGAATGCCACATTGACCGGATGAAAGGCTGGCCCCGGGGTGGGTATGTCAGGGAGGTGGGTCTCAGCTCTGGGCTGGACTGTCCTGTGGTGCACGACAGACCCAGCAAAAGTGAGCGCCCCCAAATCAGGGCATCTCCACATTGTCAGGCCCTGATACCAGTGGGTGGGGAGGGGGTGGGGCAGTGAGGGCAAGCCTGGCATCCGGAAAGGCACAGAAAGGTCTGGCAGCCGCTTGGATAGTGAAGGGGGCAAGTGCACTGTGAGCAAGAGACAGGTGCGAGGATGCTGCTGGGGATGGGGAGGAGGGGTGGAGTAGAGCAGGTGTGGCAGAGACTCAGCAGGGTGAGATCTCCACCTGGGGCTAGCTCAGCACTTCCTCTGCAGATGAGCCGGCACTGAGCACCTCTGCAACCCTCGTGATCCACTTTCTGAAGGCCCCGGCTGCCTGGGCCCCCACCCTGCACCCCGTACCCGCCCGACACCTCTGCACACCCCGCCAGGACCATGGCGTGGTTATCAGTGGACCCGGCGAGGACCCTGGCCTGGCCGGGGGGCATGGCCCCTACAGCTTTGCCCTGGGCCCCAACCCTACGGTACAGCGGGATTGGCACCTCCAGGCTCTCAATGGTGTGTGGTGGGGAAATGCGGGACACTGTGGCAAAGGCGGGAGGCAGTGGGGCTCTCGGAAGTGAGATGGGGCCGGGCCTCGGGTCTGTCCAGGCTAGGGGCTCTGGTCATTGCTCACGGTCCCACAGGTTCCCATGCCTACCTCACCCTGGCCCTGCACTGGGTGGAGCCACGTGAGCACGCAGTGCCCGTAGTCGTCAGCCACAATGCCCGGACGTGGCAGCTCCGGATCCGAGGTGAGGCCAGGGCACTGTGTGCCTGCAGTTCCCCAGGGAGCTGCTGCCGTGCAGGGGGAGGGGCTGGGGACACGCGCCTGCAGGGTCACGGGGGCTACAGATGCGCGTGCGTGCCTGCGTGTGCGTGCCTGCGCATGCGTGGCCAGGCACACAGATGCCTGCGCACAGAGGCACGCACAGAGAGGAGTGCCGCACACACATAAATACACATGTGTGCCCCAACGTGTGTATTAGCCGGCTGCGCTGGAGCCTCCCAGCGGCTCGAGAGCCCTCCCCCACCGCCTGCACCTTCCTCCCCTGCCCCCTGTCCCCCCAGTGATTGTGTGTCGCTGCAACGTGGAGGGGCAGTGCATGCGCAAGGTGGGCCGCATGAAGGGCATGCCCACGAAGCTGTCGGCAGTGGGCATCCTCGTGGGCACCTTGATGGCGATAGGTAATGGATGTTGGGCTCTTGAGTGGGGGAGGGTGAAGGATGGTTGGAGTGATAGTCTCCAGGTGCACAGTGCTCTATCCCACGGTGTTCCCCAGGGCTGGAGAAGGAACCCCACAACTCTCCTAGTCATCATGCTCCTGCTTCGTACTATCCTACTCGTCATCATCAGCACTGATGACAGTATTTACTGTTACATTATTATACGTTGACTGTGTAATATAGGACTGTCACATTGAATCCCCCCCACAACCTTGTGAGGTAGACTGTGGCATCTCCCCATTTTCCAGATGAGGTCCCCGAGGCTCAGAGAGGTTAAGTGACTTGTCTAAGGTCACACAGCCAGAATGTGGCAGAACCCAGGTCTTTCCAGCCTAATCCCTTTAGTCCAAGCCTCCCTCTTTATCCCCTTGATTTCTTTGGCCCTCTAGATTTTTCCCTGGCTGTTTTTTGTTGTTGTTGTTAGTTCTAGCACAATGCTACCATGTGCCTTTTTGTCAGAGTCCATGGGAACAGCTCACTGTTTCCCAGATGACTAGCATTGAACCGTTCCCCAGAGAAGGGGGCTTTGGAGGCTGGGGTGTTCTGGACAGCTGCAGGCCAAACAGTCAGGCTTCTTCTGGCCCCAGGACCACAGTCATACTCACCCGGCGTTGAGGATGCTGTCTAGGAAACCTTGTTTCCTTATTAGATCAATACCAATAGCAGGGTGGTGGACAAGTCCCATGGCTCCTTCTGAGAGCTGATCCATCCCTCTTGGGCCCCTCAGGCATCTTCCTCATCCTCATCTTCACTCACTTGACCCTGGCGAGAAAGAAGGACCTAAATCAGCCAGTGGACAGCATGCCCCTGAAGGCGGCGGTTTGAATGGTCCAGGCAGCCCCAGCTGGGAGCTTGGCCTCTAACTCCATGTGAGTCCCCTGGGAGAGGGCCCAGCACTGCCGATCGCCGGGAGCTAGGACAGAGTAGGAGCCCCTTCACCTGCCCTCGGGTGGAGTCAACATCACCAGACAAGTCTGTAGAGCCTGAACACTGACTTTATGGGCTGCCCATGGGAGTGCTCCAAATGGGCCACGTTTGTCCACCAATAAAGCCTCAGAGAGCAGGGCGTGGGCTGTGCCTGCATCTCAGAGTCCTGTGCATGTGTGCATTACCCATGTCCTCCTTCATTCCTTTCCCATCTCCTGCTGTGCAGAAAGGGCCTAGGGGCTTGAGGGACAAGCCTGGGTCCCCTACGAAGGAGGGACATGGGGGCATCACGTCGGTTCTTGGTGAGAACTTGAGGTTGGAGCAGGGTGGGTCATTTCTATGGGCATTTGGAGACCACGGCTGCAGACCCTGGATGGGTCCACTCTGACTAGGTGACGGTTGAGGAGGATGTCCTTTCGAGTGCATTCTGATTTCCAGGACATTTTTGCTAGGGGAGGGCACCTGTGAGTCTATGTCCTGTGCTTACGTGCGCACCACTGCTCTATCTGTGAGTCACCTGCACATGGCTGAGCAGAGGTCCCATAGTCTTAAGAGGGGTCTGCACAGGAATCGTGAGGGTCTAATAGGGCTGGAACAAGACAGGTGAGGTTGGGGATGGGTCCCTTTGCCCTAGCATAGGCCCTAGCACACTTCCGGGTTTCATATACAGGATGGTGAGTGCATGGGGGGTGGGGTCTACAGAAAGTCAGAGAAGGGGAATCACTCAGACAGACAGGAACCCCCATGGCTCACCCTGGAGCTGCCCCTGCCCCGAGTGAACCCCTTCCCCTGACCCAAGATTAAGCCACGGCCCTGGTGCCCTGCTGAGCCCTGACCACACCTCCAGGCCGACCTCCAATCCCTGACCCTTGACTGACCCCAGACGCATGCTGATCCTCCATGCACCCATCCCAACCGTCTCTAGGGAGCCAGGGTGGGACTTGCTGTCCCAGGCACCTTGAGCTGATGATGGTAAATCACGGGGAAGGGAGAAAAACAACCTCTGTGCGGCCCAGGCCCTATTTTTAGGAGATAACCTCTCCGTTCCTGGCAGATTCTGTGGGATGGGGGCCAAGCTCAACCAAGAGAGATGGGGTGGGCATCCTGGCTGGGCTGAAGAGTCTGAGAGACTCACAGAGGATCCCCAGCCCCGGGCTGAACTCTGAGGCCAGTCCCGCCATCCTGGGCCCAGCACACACACACACACACACACACACACACACACACACACACACAAACGTGAGGTTCTGCGGACTACTGCAGTCCAAGCAGAGCTTCCTGTCCCTCTCCCAAGATCCTCTACTCAGCCTGCATCCACTTAGAAATCTCCAGGGTGCAAAGCTCTTCAAAGGTGGCATCTCATGTAATCTTCCCACCAACCTGTGAGGGCAGGATTACTGGCCCCGTTTGCCAGTGAGTTTCTTGAAGTTCAGAGAGGTTAAGGGCTGCAGCTGAGAGTCTTGGAAGCAGACAAGGTGGGACTGTCTGGCCAAGGTTAGAATTACTTCTCCCCAAGTGTCCACAGCCTTCAGCGGCCTCGGCTCCCATGAGATCCCTGAGAAGGGCCTTAGATCGTCAGGCCAGCTCCTTCTTGTAAAATTGGGAAACTGAATCACGAAGAGGTGAAGGGACCTTCCCAAGTCCAGCCAGCCGGTGGGATGTAGCACCTGAGCTGGGACCCTGGTCATCAACCCACTCTCTGGGTCTTTATTCTGGATGGATGGATAGGTAGATGGGTAGGTGGGTAGATGAGTGAATGAGTGGATGGGAGGGCAGGTTGGTGGATTGTAAATGGGTAAATGGGTGGATAGGTGGATGGGTTGGTAAGCAGATCGGTGGGGTACCAACAAAGGAAAGAGTGGATGTTGACAGGGCAAATTAAGGCACCTGCCCCAGTTTGAGGGCTTTTTTTCTTTGGCCTCCAGGCCCCAGGCCCCAGGCCACCCTCCGATGGTGTCAGTTCTGGCGCTGACCCTAAGGTACATAATCCCCAGGGACACAGGCTCACTTTCCCTGAGTCTGTGGACATAAGCCTCTCCATGATCCGCAGCCTATTCTATAGAGGAAAGTGAGGGTCAGAGAGGGGGCATGGCTCCTCCTGGGTCCCAGAGGGAGAGAAACACAGAGACAGCACTGGTTTGTGGACCTGGCCATGGCTCAGTGAGTGCTAGTAGAGATTACACTGAGGAGGCAGGCCTCATTCTGCAGGCAGGGCCTAGCTGCTAAGGCAAGGTGAGGAATAACTGGTGGCTCAGTGTGGATCCACACTCTGCCTCATCTTTGCGGTGTGTTCCCAGATGAATCACTTCACCTCTCTGAGCCTTGGTTTACTTGTTAATAAAATGGGCCTCACTACAGTGAAGTTGTTGAGAGGACTACATGAGATGATCCCCACAAAATGTGTTTAGCACAGCTCTGGGCACACAGCGGGAGTTGAGTACACGTGGCTTTCCCGGGTGCACAGACTGTCGGGGTACCCACTGCAGACGCCTATAGCCACCTACTCCCACATTCCCCTGGGCCCCATGAGGCCCAGGTGTTCGGGAGGGAGTATGAAGGGGAGCCCCAACTCTAGCCCCCACATGGCCCTGTTGGGTGACCCTGGGCAAGACACCCCCTCTGGCCTTGGCTCCTTGCCAGCTCTAAAGCTCTCTCTGGGGGGTTGTTGAGGGGTCTCACAGGGTTCAGACTGGTCTGGAGCTTCAGGGAGTCACAGGGTCTGCCCCAGTGGGGAGCTCATGCTCCCCCCTCCCAGGCCCCTTTCAGAGGCACTGGGCCAGATCAAAGGGACCCAGCACTGAGGATTGGGAGGCGGGCTTGGAAAGAATGTAAACATGAGGATATTTTTAAACTTTTTCCAGCCCCAGAGATTAGGGCTCTCGAAGGGAGAGGCCCAGAGGTCGGTCTGGCCCTCACTCACAAAGAAACAGTCTGGGGACCTCCATCTCAACCATACCTACCTGTACCCACCCCAGGACTCTAGCTTGGGCCTCAGGGAAGTTCTTCCTCTGATCACACCTCCAGAGGTCCTGCTGCTGTGGGATCACGTGTTTCTAATGAGAGGACCTAAGAGATGTGGGAGGACCCAAAGGATTTCAAGGGTTATGGGGGCTTACCTGGCAGGGCTAGTGTTGAGAGACTGAGCTTGTAGACCCCTTGGCCACCCTGTCACTCCATCAGGCGCACACACATGCATGTGTGTGTGTGTGTTGTGTGTACGTGTGTGTTTGTGGGTGTGTAAGTTCATATTAAAGTCTGGTCTGCATGGTGTCACAGTGTGTGAGTGTGCCAGGAATTCACCCCAGCCCCTCCCTTCCTCCCCTGCCCTAGCATCCCTAGCATCCCTCTCCCCAAGACCACTTGGATCAGTGGCGTTTGGTGGGGAGTGAAGCTGACAGGAGGTAGCTCGAAGGGAAGATGCGGAGGGCAAGGGGGCTGGGAGCAGAGGGCTGAGGAAGCTGGGGGAGGGGCTGGGGCCGGGTCTGAGCCATGCAGTGAGTCAGGCTGTGGGAGCTTCAGGGGCCACTGACGTGGTGGTGGGGGCGGGAGAGGGTTGCTTCCCCCCCAGGTATCGCAGTGACTCAGGAACTTGGACACAAAGCTCCCTCCATCTCCCCACTCTGGGTGTCACGGTGACGCTCACCCTGGGTCCTATGGCAACAGCCTCTTCCTCTGAGTGATGCCGCCACCCTCACACGCTCGTGCGACAGAGTGGAGCACCCACAGGAGTGTCACAGGGAGCCTCACAGAGGGGACTCAGTCACAACATGCCGCCCTACCTTGTGATCATATCCCAGGGACTCCCACAGCCTTACCCTGTCCACATCCCCGCTGTTTGGGAAGTCAAAGGGTCAGAGTTCGCGGGAGTATTTGATAGCCAGGCCCGGCTGTGGTTACCAGGACAATGAGGGGCTCCGGCCCCAGGAGAGGCCTTGCTGGATGTTTGCCAGGCTTTAGGGGGCCGCTCTGCCACCTTGTCCTGCTTCTGGACCCAGAAAGGGACAAGTGAGCAGCTCCAGGTCACACGGCTCCTCAGTGGAGGGCAGGCTTCAGGACAGGCCTCAACAAGGTGGCGTGCTGCCTTCCAGAGCCCATCCACTGAGGCAGCAGAGGCAGAGGACCAGGCCTGGTGCTATCTCCTAAGATGCTGTGGGCCTTCAGGCCCAGGATGGTGCGGGAGCCGGATGGGGCGGAACTGCCAGCGCAGGGGGCCTGGTACTTGCCTGAAGATGTCGCTGTGTTGTCCCCGTGTGCATGCCCAGTCGCAGGGGCTGTTGCTATTCTTACCTACTTAGCAGTGGCCGCAGGGTCAAAGATAGTGGCTGGGTGGGAGGGAGTCATAAGCACCAGTCCCTTATCTGACACATTCTCTGGAAACTTGGCAGGGGCTGCCAGGCTTTGGGGGCCTGGGTAGGGGGCAATGAGATGGTCACATGGACTGGATGGGGGGATGGGCTCACTTGGGACAAGGCTTGCGGCATCTGTCTCTCCCACAGCCAGGCAAGGTCCCATCAGAAGTGGGACTTCCAGTGGGACTTCCTATGACCCGCAGGTCATCCTCAGCTTCCTACCTAGTCCCAACCATACTACACGACCCCGGAGTTTCTGATGCCCCGGAAGACAATGTGTTGGGTTCCCCGGTGAGGCCGTAGGCGGGGGCTGCCTCTAGGGGGAGAGCACTGTATCTGTGAGCTGCAGAAGCCCAGTTGGCCACGGTCCTGCCCACGTCTAGGCTGTGTGACTTTGTGCAAGTTGCTTCCCCTCTCTGAGATTCAGTTTCCTCATCCTTTTCCTAAGCTGTTGTAAGAACGACAAAGTCCAGTAGGTAGGAATTCGGGCCGAGGGCTGCGGATGTGTGTGCGCGCGCGGACGCTAGGGTGGGCCGCCAGGATGGGGAGAGAGAGGCACACAGGTTCCCCACCCTGGAGACTCCCGCCTCATGGATTTTCCATTGGCACGTCGGCACCCTCTCCCCCAAAATAGGCCCTAAGAGCCGTGTGCGACAGAGCCCAGACTGAGGGGACTTTTTTTAGCAGCCCTTTGATTGTCAGCTCTCAAACGGCCACTATTTCAAGCCCCAACGCCTATAGGAGTAGGGCCAAGTGGGGGCTGGGGTCAGTTCAGTGGGCCTGGCTGGCTCCTGGAAGGCCGCCCCTGGGGGCCAGCCCCGCCCTCTGACACCCAGCATTGCCTACGGGGGGAGCACAGCATGCCCTGTGTATTGGGCTGAGGGCTTGTCCGTCCACCTCCAGGGAAGCTGCAGACCTGGCAAAAACCAACCTCATTTATAGAGCTCACCCCGAAGGCCACTGGCTACCGCGGCCAAGAGAAGAGCACATTGTGGGGATTAACTTAGATAATAAGAGCAAAGCCCTTACTTAGCGTAGGGGTTGGCACGTCCCTGGCCCTCAGAAAATGAGAATAGCTACTATTATTTATGTTGTCATTACAGCTACAGTCATTCTTGGTTTTGCTGTTACAGTAACATTTTTTATCAGGTTTCCTTCCAGTCTTTTTATTTAAAATGTATTTATGTTTCTGAGTTCGGGTAATAATACTCCTCCCTCCACACAACTGGTTTCTTTTTTTTTTTTTTTTTAAAGACTTTATTTATTTATTTGAGAGAGAGAGAATGAGAGAGAGAGAAAGCACATGTGAGGG